CTCTCTCTCTCTCTCTCTCTCTCTCTCTCTCTTATATATATATATATATATATATATATATATATATATATATATATATATATATATATATATATATATATATATATATATAGCCCCTTTGGGTCTCTCCTCTCTCTTTTATATGTGCGTACGTATGTTTGTGTGTGTTATTGTGTGTTTGTGTGTTTGCATTTGTGCTTGCATACCTGAATACCTGGAGGTGTCATCTCTGACTGATCAGAGGTTGATGTGTAATGACCCTCCATCTTTCACGGTCGTGAGCTGCCGTTGCACATATATCTGCCATATCCAGGCCAATCCATGTTCTTATGTTTTCCATCCATGTTACATTTGTCTTCCTCTGGCTCTCCTGCCCCTCATCTTTCCTTCAAGCCCCTCTTTCACAATGGGTGTCTTTTTAACTGGCCATAGTATTGTATTTTTCTACATTTTATTTTGTTCAGCAGGGTTTGTCTTGTGAGTAGAATCTGACACACCTCTCGTTTTTTCGTTTGGTTTGGGGTTTGTTTTTGTTTTGTTTTTGTTTTGTTTTTGTTTTTCGACCCATAATTTACGGTAGCACTACATCTCAAACGCGTCTGTTTTGTTTCTTTGATAACTCTTTCCTTGCCAAAGTCCAGATTTCTGCGAACACACACACACACACACACACACACACACACACACACACACACACACACACACACACACACACATATATATATATATATATATATATATATATATATATATATATATATATATATATATATATATATATATATATCAGGGGCGGCTCATGGATCTAATCTAAAAACTGGGCGTGCACAGTTAAGCTATCGCAGGCTGAAGATTGTCAAGGGCATATAAATGAGATGGTGCATAATTTTAATATCTTTGGGTTGGTGAGGGAGGACCTGGAGCTTTTATTTTCATTCTTTTTACATGTGCTTGTTGCTTCAATTTCTAGAACTTAAAATATGTTTGTTAGCGAAACATCAAATTCGTTCATCCTGAATGAGAACTGAACACTCCAGTAATAACGTTCACCACTCCTCTGCAAAACCATTCAAAGGCACAACCCATAGGACGGTATGTCACGTTCACCTCCCTCAGGTTCACGGTCACAGACTCACTTAAAATAGCAGCAAGAAGATGAACCAGTCATAATTCACTTGAGCACTCCGCTGGATTGCTCCGAGGATCACATACGTTTGGCATTGAATAGCGTACAGTCTAATAATAATAATAATAAATAGCATTTATACTGCACATTTCCATTTCCTAAAAGATGCTCAATGCGCATTACAATGAAAAAGACATCACATCTTAAAAATTAATCGACACAAATGTGTACGTAAAACAAAGTATTATACATATAATATAAATGCATATGTGTAAAATTTTATACCAGAAAAACAGTCTCGCAGTGAGGTTGAAAATGTGTTCACTAAAAATATACAATGCAATATAAATTCACGAACAGTCAAAATACAGTTGAAACGTGAGTAACTAGAAACATTCATTAAAACATTAATTCTATACAGATAGTCTACCGCGTTTATTTTTAGACCACCAACTGTGGGCTGAGTTTCGACACTATTCGGCAGGAGCACATTTGAGATGTCCTGGCTTATTAATATTAATGTACCGCCAAACTCGCTACGAGTGTCGTCATTGCTTGGGTTATCCCAAAGACCGATTTATAGGTCAGGTTACCAGTGTTGAATATCCTATTATGTTTAGTTAAAGCGTGTGACTTTGGCAGGGCATAGTAGATGTTTCACGGCGCTATAGACACAGAAATGATAGTTACAGCGCAAGCGAGAAGCTTGTTTTGATTTTATATTTGGCTAGTGCTTGTATTGCTTCTTTTATTCTATGTTTGTGGGTGCTTTACGTAATAGAATATTTAAAAAAATTGGGCGGCACTGCACGACCGTGCTCTATGGACGAACTGCGCCTGTGTCTGTTGTTTTTCCAGACGATTTTTCCAGACGTTGCTGAAAAGAACATTCAGATTACCAACCCCCCCTCTCTCTCTGATCTCTCTCTCTCTCTCTCTCTCTCTCTCTCTCTCTCTCTCTCTCTCTCTCTCTCTCTCTCTCTCTCTCTCTCTCTCTCTCTCTCGCTCACATCTCTTTCTCTCGCTCACATCTCTCTCTCTCTCTCTCTCTCTCTCTCTCTCTCTCTCTCTCTCTTTCTGCCTTATTGTATTTCGTAAGAA